AAGCTATGTAGAGCATGGAATACCAAAAAATCGGCAGCTTTGACACAGTTTAGAGATTAATATCTGACTTTGTTTAACTTTGCTCTCTGCTCTTTTTCCAGTTTATGTGCTGTCTTCCCTTCTACTTATCCTTACAGCATTTTCTGGAATGGTTGTTCAGAGTCCATTTCCCTCACTCTCTGATCCACATCCAACTCGCTTCAGCGTACTTATAGTTTCTTCTTGCCCCAGGAATGGGAATTAAAATCACTCCTGTGTATTGATTAAAGTGCTGACTTTATAAGGCAAGGATGAGCACGTTTTTTTCCAGAGGAAGTCCCTTTCCCAGTAACTGTTGAACGCCCAATTATACAACTTGTGTGTGTTACTGTTCTTATTGTGTAATGGGTACCTCAACAGTTTTGTGTTTTGGTAAGAACAGCTGCTCATGGTGCTGTTTTTTTAATATCCAAAGAGCAATTCTTAAGCTTGCGACTGTGTGCTAGCTTCTGGAACCATCTGGATGATACCGCAAGTAGCTATTTCTGAATTCCTTACAGTGAATTCCATATTTGAAAAAAACTCTGGGTTTCTGGGTACAGAGCTGGCACTGGAAGTAATTACAATAAATGTCAAATAATTGGCTGTCTGCTTTTGTGTTGGTTGAAGGTGCTCTTCTAGTTTCATCAATGTTTCCCTGATTTGTAATGCAAGTCTCTTTCCCACCTTGAGTATGTGTGTGGTCCAACTGCTTTTTTTGACAGTTAAGGTGTATGAGAGGAACAAAGAGGTGTTTTCCTGTCTTGGTGGTTGTTGATTTTTGCTGGACCAATTTAATACAAAGGAAATAGGTGCTTCACCACTACTCTGTGTTTGTTACACCGACAGAACCTCCAAGGGCTAATGAACGGGAGGAACCTTCTCGCCACCTCCTCCGTTTGCACAAGCAAAGATGGTGAATGCAGCAGTGTGGATGCTTCTCTGTAGGAGACCCACCAGTTGGCAGAATTTCAGTGCAGTGGTGTGTTCCTAGGTATTTAGAAGTGGAAGACTGTGTCTCATATCAGGGCTGCAGAGCAAAGGCTGTACACAGATTAGGTTGTAATAGAGCTGTAGACTCAGCTCTTGCTGGAAGAGTGACTTAATACATAGCAGGGTTAAAGAAATCTCATGGGAGCAGGCTGGTTCCCAACGGGATAGACAAACTTCATTGCCCTGACTGTAAATAATAGGTATCTTTAGTATTCATGGCAGTGCAGAGCTATTCCTCCAGTTCAGTGTCCCAGCTCTTGAGGATGTTGAGTTCAAGCACTTTTGATCTTGCAACTGTCCGTATCCCTGGCCGTATCCATCATCCCTGCGAAAGAGGGAGATGGCCTCTGCCTTCCAACAGAAGAGTGAGACAGAGCGCTTGGGACAGCACTGTCTTTCCCTGCCCTTCAGAGCAAGTCCGAAGTGGCCCCAAGGTTCAGAGAGGTGACAAGAGCAGCAAATGTGTAGGAAAACTTACTTGTGTGCTAGTTTTGTTTCGGTCTTCCTAGAGAGCAGTAGGTTAAGCATTAAGAATTTTTAATCACAGCTTATATGCTTTGTTGTATGTTGCAAATCACTCACTATGCTGTGTTTCGCTTATTATACTTATTATTTAATGAGCTTTGGAGTTCATTAAACATCACAAATGAGCCAATCTGCTCCCATATAGCAGCAGTTTGATTGAGTTGCCTTTAAATACCAGAAATTGCACTGTATACTGAACAGTGGTGAGTGCTTGTGGGACTTGCAGAGCCTGAACTGTGAAAGGCAGACTTCTATGCCGAGTTTTCTTTGAGCAGGGAGGCGTTTGTGCTGCCTGTAAGCTTATGTTCTTATCTGTGAAGTCAAAGAATGGACATGACATCACTGTTTCATTCTAGTCACACTTGCTAATGATATTGTCTAGGATTATTCAGTGTAGTCTTAGGAATACATTATTCTTCTCGTTTATGTCTTTTTGAAGGTGGAAATGCCAACATCAGAGAGGAATTATGGCAGGAAGGAGAATCAGCTAAATGTAGCAAGGGAAAAACATAAAAAAATGTTAAGTGCAGCAGAAATTAGAAGCATCTACAGTCATGTTTCTTTCTTAAGATGGCATGTCTAATCTGAATTTTGCAGGAGGATTTGATCCCTAATTGCAGTTCTAAACACATGGTGATACCTAGACAGAGTCCTCGAAAGCAACAGCGGGGCTGAACTGGGAAGTGCCAAGTGTTTAGGCATCAGGCTGTACAGTGGTGGAATATAAATTCCTGTCTTCATAGGCTGTTATAGAAAATACAGAAAAATACACTTGCCTTCTACTCATCTCTCATGTCTGACATGAGGGTTCTTTTCACTCTGCCTCCCTACTATATGATTACAGTCATCTGATGCCCTGTGTCGGGGTCTGGTGACATCCTTAGCTGTTCTGAAGAAACTGTAGGTCAGATTCCAAGTGCTGGAGCTAAGGCTTCATCAACAGTTTTTCTTGCATATAATTTTGTAATTTGGAAGTCCTCAACATGCACTCTGTTGCTATCTTTTTCCTTTTTAATTTCGGTAAATTTGTTTAAGGATTGTGGTTTGCTGGGCAAATTTCAAGACTGAGGATCTCTTCCAAATTTTGTTTCCATCCTTGCCACAAGTTATTTAGATGCCCCTGGGTACGTCCTTGGCCTCTCTGGGCCTCAGAGCCTGCTCTCTGAAATAAAGATAGCTCTCTGAAATAAAGATAACGCTTCCTTCACATGGGGCTCGCTTACTACTTTGCAAAGTGTTAGGATCTCTGAGTAAAAAAGTGTTAACCTTTTAAGTCTTAGAAATCAGGGCAATTTGTAAACCCCAAATCTACAACTCCAGCATTTCTGAAAGTATCTCTTTTGCAGTAATGTCTTTTGAAACAGAATTGTTCTAGAGCCTAAGAAAGTGGTTAAAAATACCTTTCCTGTTGTGTATGCCATCTGCAGTATTTGACATGCCTGTTGATGATGAGAACTCCTTAATTAATAAGCAGAGCCCTCACAGACTAAGTTCCAGACACGTTAGTTCTGTTAAGAAATGATGACACCATAAGCCTTGTGCTTTCTGTGTGTAAATAACAGGCACAAACGCAGCTGGTGCTCAACCTGCTTTATATTGGCAAACATCAAATATAAGTTACATTTACATTACCTAGAAGTCTTGGGGAATGACATTCTGATAGAAAAGCAAACCATAAACTCTCCAGCTCGGTTTTATATTAACTTCTAAAATACATCATGCTTATTGTAAAAAATGAAAAAATCAAAATATTGGTAAGCTTTTTCTGAATTGCAGCATTTTGCTAAATACAACTGCTCTGCCAGAGCTTCATGCAGCTGTCAAGAAAAAGTTCTCCACTGTCATTATTAATCAGCTTGTGACTGAGTCTGATCCTTTGGTTACTATCTGAATGTTGGATTTACTGCATTTTTTGATTTACGGAAAAACATTTAGGAAGAGAGCGAGTAGGGCAACAAAGGCTCAATGTCTCTTGCAAGAGGGATTTGACAACTTGCAGGACTGACCCAAAAGGAATGGATTAAAGACAGTACTTGGCACAGAGGTCTGTGTGCTTTGGCAATGTAATTTTTTTGAGTGTGCATTAAGCCATCGTTCTATCAGATAAACTTTTGGAGGGGGAGAATACGTGAACTCACCAAAGGCTGTGCCAGAAGACATTGCTGGAAGATAACAAAGATATTCAGGCAATGTGTTAAACAGTTTTTCTGTATAAATTTAAAAGAATCAGTGTAAAAGTCTGACAAGTATTTTAATTGAAATAGCCACCTTTGTGTAATGCAGTGATGCCTTTGAAGCCCAGCCCACTTGAAAACAAGGTGGAAGATTAAATCAGCTAACAGCTGGAGCATCTAAATTCTTTTTTAGAAAGATTAAAACAATTCAGGGCTATAGAGTATGAAATTAACCTAAAAAGGGTTGGACATTTAAGAAATGTAGCTCTCGTAAGCAAATAATGGCTTACGTACTCCAAAGCAGCAGTGAAAACAGTTAAGAGTTGGAGGTTATCAATTTTCTGGAGCTGTTTTTGTGAGAGATCTGGATGTGTCTGGCTTGATCCTCTCTCTTAGTACATCTTTCCTTCTCCATCATTTCTGCATGGTGTGAATTCTTCACACCATGGCCTGTGCAGAACCAGAGGACTCACTGTGTGGATAGATATAAAGGAGACAGAAAGGGGTTAAGTGTGTGGTTTCCATCAACAGGTTTTGGGGGCTGAGAGCGGAGGTGGAGGAGCTGCGGTGGCTCAGACAAGGATGATGTTGGCTGGATTTCCTCTTGATGTCTTCTTTCTCATTGGCAATCTCCCTGGAGAACAGGGTTAGCCACACTTGCAGAGGATGAAGTGGAGTCTGATGGTGGGAAGGGTTTTAATTTTGGAGCTGCAGTACTTTCACAGAACTGGAATTCACTGGTTCAGCTCTGTCACTGTCTCTGCATGGGCTGTTGCAGAGGGGACAGTACTAGCTGGGATTACACGTGCAAAGGTTTTCAAGCTGGGTTGAAATGCCCTCTGACTGCATGCTTTGGTATCTGTGTTACCAATTACTTCACTGAAAAGAAATTTAGAAACATTATGCCGTTTTTCTAGTCCAGTACTCTTAACATGGGTCATTTGTCTTTCACTTAATAGTGGAAAGCTTGTTTTAACCTTCCCTGAAGAATCTGCAGTTTCCTTCCAGCCCAGTTCTCTGCCTGTCTGCAAGGTGGCAGAGGCTGTGGCATGAAGCGTTGAATCCCAGCTTGTCCACGGCTGATGCTCACTGACGTTAATGATTCTCTCAAGAATCAAGATCACTTTCTTCCTGAGACATAGCAGGACTGATTTTTAGGCCAGAGGCCATGTCTCAAGCTTGCCGACATGTTCCCCATCTTCACAAGAATGCTTATGCCTTGGACACGATTTTGAAATGTCCATACACATGATGCACGCTTTGCCTACGGAGTACTGGAAGCGTCGGCGATGCTGTGCATGTGTCCTGTCTTGCTAATTAGCCTGGTCTTGCCTATTTGTCAAATAATGGCAGAATCCAGTCACACCCCTTGCAGTGTACAGCCAGAGGTTTCCCTGCTGCCTCCTCCATCTCTCTAGAGTTTTTTAATTTGAATTTGTGTCACAGTAATATAAAGGTTTTCAAGGTTGTGATTTCACGGCAGAATAAATACTGTGATGTCAGGTCATAGAGACACTTATAAGTGACACTTATAAGCCTTTAATCTCCTTGTACGTTGGGTCATAGTCACTCCTGGATAAACCTGCTTTGCCTGAAGGTGAGGGTTCAGTTTTTTTCTTACTTTTTAGCTGTTCCAAATAAATTTAAATCAGAGTTAGCACATAACCAAATTCAGATCAGTTTTGAATTCCTTTGGTTTATGACTCGTCTCTCAGCAGCGTTGGCAAGGCAGTAGGTGGAGCAGCACCCGGCTGGACTTGAACTGGTTTGGAGTCAGTCTGGCACACACCTGAAGTGTGCTTTGAAAGTCACCTCCAGAGGACTGCTTAATTCAAAAACTGTTTGAAAGCTCTTTTATGCTTTTATTAAAAGGAGGCATAATAGTGATGGTTGATGCTGTTTCTAAAGCCTTGAACGTGTTAATTTTGTCTGGTTTTTTTTTTTCCCTAATCCATTCTGTTGGGCTCTGCCATCTCTTCAGACTCTTTTCCCTGTTAGTGGATTAGCATCACTGGACTTGACCCAAAATTTGGCCCTATTACCTTGGCATTTTCTTCGTATTTCCTTTGCTAACTTCATAGGTTCTTCTGTGGGTGTGGATGCAGTTCCCTTGTGGCCGTTTTAAGGAGTGCTTGGCTGGATGGAGTGGGGAGAATGGGATCTGAGGAAGTGCTATATTTAACTGGCAGTTTGTCACCTCAGGCCGTTTTCCCACAGGCTTCTTCATCTGTCTCCATGTAAGGTCACTGTGTCCCTCTCTTAGAAAGGAGGAGTGAGGGTCCCCTCTCCCCTCTGTCCTTTTGCAACTGCAGTTTTGGGCTTGCCAGAAGGAGCTCAAGTGTCAGGACCCTCCATACAGAGCACCCTTTTCAACCCCTCACATCATACTCTGGCTGTGAAATGACGAGTCTGGTGTACTCTCCTTTGCAGCAATATCAGAACCAGTTATTTCAACAAACAGAAGATGTGGATGGGAAAACAGAAATCATCATCAAGGTAAGCTGGGGATGTCTCATATATTATGAAGAGTCTTTTGTTCTTTCTTTTGTTCCATTTAAAGATGCAGGTTTTTATCATTGCTACAGAAGTCGTGTGTTCTGTGTCTGGCCTTGTCTTCTGGCAGAGACCCGAGCTTTCCCTAGCAGGACTAATGCTCTGCTCTAGCAAAGTGTGTCCCCTTTCCCAAACCTTCCAGGTTTTCGCAATCCTGTATCATCAGCTGGCCAGGTTAGTCAATCTCGCACACCTCTGAGTAGTGGTGTTGCAGCTCCAATGGATGGCTGTCACTGAAGTGTGACAGGAAGGAAACTCTTCCTTTTTGTCCTGTGAGCTGTTTTTCAAAACTGCTTAATTCCCTCTGGCTTTCAGAGTGGGAGTACGAGCTGAGTTAGTTCAGGACCCATGATATAAGCCCTTACAGCTGTATCATTCAGTCGCCTTTCTAAGATCTCCAGGTACAACTGCACGCACTGTGTATTTTCAACAATTTCCAACACTGTACAGGTTATGAACAGCCTCACTCAAGTATCCCTTTGGGACAGGCTTTGCAAGTCCCAAAGAGCAGCTTTAATCCCCTTTTTGGTGGCCTGAATCCCCAACTGTGCATCAGGAATACAAACACAGTTCAGTCACACCAACTATTAACTGTAGGTACGTTTGCAAGATGTGAGCAGATGGTGCAATAAACTCGGTGTTAATCAGGATGCTGATTGTTAGGTTGGTTGTGCTCAAAAGAGAGAAGGAGCTGGTGGAGATAAAGATGCCTGTGATACTTTCACAGCCGAGAAACGCTTCCTGTCACGGCCTCACACTGATGCTCAGACGTGCTAATGATTTGTCAGTAATTTAATGAGTTGGAAATAGAATGCTCTATGAAGTGCTTATTTTTGTGGTAGTTCAATGATATTTCCACTTAAATATGCAGGTTATGTTAATTGATGTCACTGATAAAAGATTAAAGTGATAGAAACAAAAACATGCTTTAAAAAACAGGCATGATTTTTCATCCCATGTATCCTATCTCACCTTATTTCTAGGTTCAAGTCCTTGCTCTTGTTACAGCCTTCTTTAATTTTACTCTTCTGTTGGGACACTGCTTATGTAGTTGTGCTGCTGGCTGGCAAAGGAACAAGCCTGCTTGGCCCAGAGGAGCAGATTCCTTTTTCCTCTCAAAAAAATGGAGAGGTTAAACTGAAGCGTCCCATCCTTATTCATACTCCTGTTGTCCTTCCTCAGACCCTCTCTCAGATATATGCGGGATTGTAAACCCAACAAAACCAGCAACCAGATCTGCCTTTAAAACTTTAAATTTGAGATAAACTCAGACCTTGGGTATCAATGGCCTGTGCACAGCCTGTATGCTGCTCTTTGGAACACATCTGCCCTTGGTTAAGACAGACAACGCCTGCAGTGTCCTGGCTGTGGCTGATGGATACATGACCTGTGTGGAAGGAGGCATCTCTATGGTATTGGGGACAGATGTCTGTGACCACTCAGTGTCTCACCCATGGTTTTGAAGGGCTTCTTGCCCTCCAGAAAGGAAAACAGATGTACATTTCATTTTCCAAAGTGATCCCTTCTAACACGGCAAGGAGAGCGGATCTCTGAAAGCGTATCCAGAAGGCACTGGGCCTGTTTGTTTTGTGTTCGTGTGCTGAGGATATACTGGGAAACGGGCTTTACCTGTTATATGCATCACGTCATATTACAGCACCTGTATTACACTGTGGTGATCTCCCTGTTGTTGTTATCTCTGACGTGGTCGCTTTGCTGTCTGTTTTCACAGCAGTCCTGTGTCAACTGCGGTCGTGAGGCAACAAACGAGTGCACGGGATGCCATAAAGTCAACTACTGCTCCACTTTCTGCCAGCGGAAGGTATAAGCTTGTTTGTGAGTTGCAGATTCAGTTGTCTGGAGAGGGCTATGTGACCTTGGGGAGAGCCAGACAGCTCTGCCTGATACCTGATGGGCGTAAGTGTGGTGAGAAGACCAGGGCACAAGCCAGAGCACAAGATTTGCAGGGGTGAGCAGCCCCAGTGTCCCAAACCTACCCCGCCAGTTGGAACTCCAGGCATGACCGTGGTAACAGGGCAGGTCTGTGTGTGACAGTCTGGGCCTGCATCAAACAGGTAGGGAAGGTCCCAAGATCTGCACATGCCTTCTCAAAGGTGGTGTGAAAATCAGAGTAACACCAGAAACGAGGGTGTGGACACCTCGTGTGAGCTGTGGGGACCAGTTAGTTGGGAGCACTTTTACACCCTTCCCTGCTGCTTCTTGGTAAACTGAACACTCCCCAGTACTTGTGCTCGTGCTGTGTCACTGCGGACATAGTTCTCTTCTTCTTTGCATTATTTGTGATGCTACAGATGATACAGTTGGACAAACCATAAGATTTTTAACATGGGAGGTGGAAACAGGTATGAGGAAGTACGGTGGAGGAAGCTGCTGTGCTTCATGTTTCACACAGGTTCGTTAAAAAGATCCTTGGCACCCTGCTTTACAGGAAAGGATAATTTAGTTTGGGCAGGGTTACAGTTCTGCAGGCTGTCCCAAGTTCAGTCTTCATCACCTGAGGCTGGGTGTACTGAGTAGCTCAAGAATTCTGATTGTTTCCTTTTGCCTGTAACAAAGTGTAATGGTGGCCAGGTTCCCTGTCTGTGTAGCAGAAAGATTAGAAATTCCAAAGAATGAAGATATGCTGCTTGCAGAAAACTTGCACTGTCTACCTGCCGCCTCCTCAGGCGCCTTGTGGGTGGCAATGCCACCCTCTTGTCCTCTCAGTACAAAATGCACTGGGAAATGGCACCGAGTAGTCACCTTTTGTCCACCTCCTAGACAGCTTGTCACTTCTAAGGGGACATGAGCCCATGTGTGTCGCTGGTGCTCTGCGCTGTAATAGCGTGGGAGACTTTGAAGTGCTTGTCAGTAACGGAGTCCTTGAGATTCCCTCTATGTTTGTGATCTATGATGTATGACCTCTGGGTTGAGCGACTTAGGGGAGGCTTGTGTTGGTTCAGACTAGAAGTTCAAGTCAGTCAGTCTGGGGAGGAATTGTGTTCCTCTCCTTTGCCTTTACTGAATTAAGACCCCTTGTATGGTGCTGTCCTCCACAGCACTAGCTCATAGTGAGCTATCTTTCAGGAGAGGGTTTAAGTCAAGGTTCTGACTCTGTTTTAGCAAAATTTTCCACGACCTAACTGACGTTGATGTCCTGGATTGGTTTTTGGGTTGAGAAGTCAGCATTCTGCTTAGTTTGTGTTAGCATTGACGTGGTGTGTGGTTCCTTTCCTGTCTGTTGTTGAGTCTTGCCTGACCGAGCGCTAGAGACCTGCTGTAGCCCATCTCTGCTGGGGAAATAGGGCGTGTGTTGGGGCCTGGTGTGCTTTTGCAGGCTGCATGCTTTCCAAGAGCCCTTCCTCTTCATGGCCTTTCCATCTGCTCTTCCCTCGCAGGACTGGAAGGACCACCAGCACATCTGCGGCCAGTCAGCCACAGTGAC